TTCTCTCTGTCTTTCTCCTCTCCTCTCTCTCCTCTCTCTGTCTCTCTCTCCTCTCTCCTCTCTCTGTCTCTCTCTCCTCTCTCTCTTACTCTCTCCTCTCTCTCTGTCTCTCCTCTCTGTCTCTCTCTCCTCTCTCTGCCTCTCTCTCCTCTCTCTCTTTCTCTCTCTCTCCTCTCTCTCTCCTGTCTCCTCTCTCTGTCTCTCTCCTCTCTCCTCTCTCTTTCTCTGTCTCTCCTCTCTCTGTCTCTCTCCTCTTCTCTCTCTCTCTCCTCTCTCTCCTGTCTCTCCTCTCTCTCTCCTCTCTCTGTCTCTCGCTCCTCTCTCTCCTCTCTCTCTCCTCTCTCTCTGTCTCTCTCCTCTCTCTCCTCTCTCCTCTCTCTCCTCTCTCCCTCTCTCTTCTTTTCTCTTCTCTCTCCTCTCCTCTCTCTCTCCTCTCTCTGTCTCTCGCTCCTCTCTCTCCTCTCTCTCTCCTCTCTCTCTGTCTCTCTCCTCTCTCCTCTCTCTCCTCTCTCTTCTCTCTCTCCTCTCTCCTCTCTCCCTCTCTTCTTTTCTCTTCTCTCTCCTCTCCTCTCTCCTCTCTCTCTGTCTCTCTCCTCTCTCTGTCCTCTCTCCCTCTCTTCTCTTCTCTTCTCTTCTCTTCTCTTCTCTTCCTCTCTCTCTCTCTCTCTCTCTCTCTCTCTCTCTGTCCCTCCCCCCCTTTTCCTCTTCCTTGTATTTGTTTCTGGGATGGTACCCAGGGCCTCACTTGGTTTTGCCCTTCATGTGTGTGCCCGCTGAAAGCAGGGACCAAACTCATGCACATCATCCCTCAGGTGCCTTCCTCCACCTTGTTTTGTTTTGGGTTTTTTTTAAGACAGTGTTTCTCACTGGCCTGGAACTCACCAAGTCTGTGAGGCTGCTGACCGGAGAGCTCCAAGGAGCCAACTGTCTGCCTCTGCCTCCAGGGAGCTGGGGTTACTGGCACATACCACCATGTTTGACTCCCCCTTGCACCCCCCCATGGGTTCTGGAAACTGAAATAAGGTCTTCATGTTTGCATGGCAAGTCATCTCCCCAAGCACAGCCAGAGCCTCTTTCCAGCTAAACGCATGCTCCGCCACTGAGCCACATCATGGAGCCTTGTCTTCTCCTCAGTTTAGAGTGCCACAGTTTGGGGACATAGAAACATTTGAAAGCCCATTTCCTGTTCAAGTGAGGGAGAAAACAAATTTTTCAAATGAAATAAAATAAAAGGGGCCAGGGACATTCATTGTACAAAGTGTCTGATTAGACAGGTTCTGAAGTTTAATGGAGACTTAGCTCTTGGTTTATGGACAGATAATACAAAATGACAAAGGAAACCCATATTGGACTCTGCTTGATCACTGTGTGATGAAAAGCAACATATACATAAAGACATCCTACAGGATCCCTGACAGCGTCTGTGAGGAGAAACTGTTAGTTGAACTCAATCCAAATAACATCAGTTAGTCTGAGGAATGCTGTTTGAAACCATCACTTTGAGAAACCCTGCTGCAGACGGTTCATTCTCTGGTCTGTAGAGTCCTTCCGTCAAGGAAAGCTGGCAGTCCAGTTCTGTTTTACAGCATGCTGCCTCGTGGCCTGTGAGCCACAGTCTAGTGCAAAAGATGGACAGTGAGGCTGGGTGGCCGGTCAGCCTATGGTCCCCTTGCTCAACAGGCCACAGCCAGGGCCCCATTTTGAAACTGAACAGACACTAGTGGCAGGATGAAGCATTGGGTTCAACAGTGTCACAGTCACTGGCGACCACCTGGGAACAGAACAAGGAGCTGGGCATTGGAAGGAGAAAAACAGAAAACAGCCAAGGCTGTTCAGGCAGCTCTCAAGAGCTAGGCGCTGTTGGAGGCTGGAGGGTAGAAGGGGCAGATGGGTTGAGTCATGGTCCTGTGAGGCCTCTTGGTACAAAAAGCACCTTCCTAAGCAGGAAGCTCAGCACTGGTGAATTCCTGCCCCTCCATTCACAATCTGGGTGACAGTATTTGCTTAAAGAATGAATCAACACTGTAGGAAGTGAAGTCCTGGACTCGGGAGACAATGAGTGGGTGTACACATGAACTGTGTTAGCAAGAGCCCCTGGAGTCCTGCTCTCTCACACCCACTATAGGTAGCACACCCCAGTGGGGTTCTTGATTAAGGCCCAGGGGGTTGCTTTGAAAAACCATGTCCCTGGGTCCTGCTTCCCTGCCAGTCTCTCAGTCACTTCCTCCCCTGGCTGAACATCCTTGAGGACCCATCCATCCCCCAGATGAGGAAAGGAGACTTGAAGAGACATGCTTTCATCAATGCAGACCACAAGCAACGGAGGCACATCAGGTGTTCAGGTCATGATCCTCAATTAGGTTTCCATCAAAGTAAAACTCTAGCAATATCCAGGCATGATGGGGCAGGCTTGTCATGGAACTGAGGAGGCAGAGGCAGAAGGATGGAGAGTTCAAGGCCACCCTGGGCTACATAGCAAAACTGTATCTCAAAACCAAACCAAACCAAACCAAACAATCTCTCTAGTCTCGGTACCTACAGATACTACTTATAGGTTTGAAACTACAGTACTTTTTTTGGTACGGTTTTCACTTCTTATGTGTATGTGTGTATTGCCTCCATGTATGTAAGTGCACCTGTGTGTGCAATGCCCTCTGGGGTCAGAAAAAGGCATCAGATCCCTAAAATAGAAGTTATGGATGGTTGTCAGTTGCCATTTGGGTGCTGAGAACCAAACCTGGGTCCTCTACAAGAGCAGTCAGTGCTACTAATCACTGAGCTGCCTCTCTAGCCCCTCAGTATAATTTTTAAATGACAGATTTACTAAGACATAGTTCACATATCATACAAGTCACCCACCGAAAGGGTGCACTTCAATGACTTCAATATAATCACAGAGTTGTGTAACTATCACCACGATTGATGTTGGGGCATGTCTATCACCCCCAAATCAAACCTTACAAGCTCTAATAATCACCCATCCTTCCCCAGTCCAAGAGGGAGAAAGCCTTGGGACCCAATTGCTGCTTAAAGGCCTAACCTTAACCAGTCACACAGGAGCACCTGACTTCTTCAGGGGTGCCATCAACCCACAGCAGGGATGTTGTTGCTTCTGGCTATTGTGTATAATGCTGTGTTTTTGTGTGTACATCAGTTCTCAGATACCCTGATTATATACCCAGGTGAAGACTGTTGAGTTATACAGTAACTGTGTATTTAGCTTCTTAAGGAAATGTCAGTCAGCCTGTTTTCTAATGCAGCCCCACCATTTTACATTCCCACCAACCATCTAGGAAAGCTCTTGTTTTCCTACACCTTAGCCAATACATGTAGTGCCCATCTTTTGGTGATGGCCACTCTGGTGGGCATGAGGCACACGTGGTTACATCTCCCTGCCATGGTATTAATGATGTGAGCACCTTTTCTTGCACATATTTGCCACTTGCTTGTATTACTGGAGTAGCATCTCTTCGAACCCTTTATTCATATTTTAACTAGCTTGTTTGTCTTTTTGAATTACTGAGTTGCAGGAATTCTTCATATTCTTGAGGAGAATATGCTGAGTCAGGTAGGTCCCTTATAGAGAACCAGAACTCAGAGAGCTGCAAAAAAGAGAAGTCTAAGACCAAAAACACACATTGGATTTCATCAAAACTAAAAACTTTTGGGCTTCAAAGGACACCATCAAGGAAATGAAAAATTGGCCACAGATGGAGTGAAATATTGGCAAATCCTGTATCTGACAGAGACTAGCTTATCTAGAGTAAGCTAGGGCCTCTTAGGATACGTGTCAATGTCCATGGAAGGCTCCTTCACCCCTGCTGTCTCTCCCCTACTCAGTCTTCTCCCCTCTGACTCTTGGGGCCTCTTTGCAAGGATGTATTAGTGCAAATCACCAGGGACTAAACCCATGACCTCGAACATGGTCGGCAAGCACACCTTGCCACTGAGCTAGATCCCTTACCCTTTTTATTTTTTTTTTACTTTGAGACAAGGTCTCACCAAGTTGCCTAGGCTAACCTTGAACTCATTCCAGCCTAGACAGGTCTTACCTTTGAGATTCTCCTGCCTTATCTACTAAGTAGCTGAGATTACAGGCCTATGCTACCGGGCCTGGCCCTCTGAAGGTTGTCAAGTGTACTAGGTTCTGTTGCCTCCAGCTTCTCCCCAGCTTCCTGTCAGCTGTGCCCCTCTCTGCACATCTGCTTAACTAATGGCCTTCCGCCCTTGCTCAGACCTCTCCTTCGCAGTCCACCTTGCTTACTGGGTCCCCCAGCTTCATACTGTACCCTACTGGGCCGCCACTTGGCACTTCTGCTCAATTTACTCTTAGTCTCTTCATAGCAGTCATCTCCTAGATTTCTGCAGACTTTACTTACTGTTTATTAGGCCTTTTACAGTTATTTGTTTATTTGGAGGTGGTGCACCATGGCATGTGTAGAGGTCACAGGACAATCTGAGGAACTGGTTCTCTCCATCGACCAGGATGGTCTCAGGAATTGGACTCAAGATGCAGGCTTGGTGCACGTATCCTTACATACTGAGCCATCTCGCGGGAACAGACTAAGCCTTTTAACAACCCCTATCAGGACACAAACTCCATGTGGCCAGGGATCTCTGCTTTCTCCTCTGACTTATCCCAGGGACCTCAGGGAAGCCACAGTTGTGGGCCTCACGCCCTTCCTCCTTTGTGAGCTGCCTGGTTCATTCCTTTGTGCATTTGTCTAAGTGCTGCTGCTCACTGGTTTGTAGAACCTCTAGGTTTTCGTGACACATCCCCTTTGCTAGTGTGCCCACTCGTCTGACTTGTCACCAGTGCCTGGCACATAGCCTGGCACAGACTAAGCTCATAAGCTGCTGAGGGGATGTTGAGACAGAAATCCCAAGTGTCCCCAAACATCTTCAGATTCATATTTGCGCTTTCAAGATTAGAGGGAACAGTGAAATGTCTTGGAAAATGTTTAATTAATAACTGGCATGGAAGAAATGGACCAACTCACCCTGGCAAGCAGTCCCCGCAGACAGCATCACTGGTGTGTGAGCAGTTGGCCCTTTGAAAGCGGTTCACTAGCGCACAGTCCACACAGGGCTTGCATTTCTGGAAGCCCCAGTCCTCCTTGAACCTGAGCGGTCGGCAGGGCACACACAGAGCATCCTCCCCATAGCCGAAGCCACATTCCTGTGGGGATTAGGAGGCAACAGACAGCTATTCAGACTTTGCAAGTGTGGGAAAGGAAAGGCTGCTTGGCTGAAGGAAGACCAGCTCTCTTAATAACCAAGGACCTGCCTTCCCAGGCACAAAGGCGGCCTTTTCAGCAAGTTCAAATGTGTCTTTCCCCCTAATAATCTCTCTTACTGCCAGAAGTGTCCTTAGCCATCCACTGTATTCCAGAGGCAGCGAGCAAGTGCGTAAGAAAAGGCCTTCTGGCCTCCCACTGGGGCATTATGGCAGAATTATGGCACTTTCTTCTCCCCTAATTAAGCCTGTCATGTGACTGTACAGAAACTAAAGTCTACAGAACATTCAGACACTTGTCCGCTTATCAAGGCAGAAAATAAGCACTCGGCTATCAGGGCTGCTACTCCAGAGGATAAAGATAACTGCGTGAGAGGTTTCATAAGCTTGCGTGCTTAGAAATCCATGCCTGGGTAGTGCCTTGAAATACTGCCCAACTAACATCTGAGACCAGAAAAATTCTTACTTTTTGTGCAAAGAAAACTTAGTGAAACTAAAGGTAGCAAGCTAGAGCTGGGGGTGTGGCTCGAAGGTAGAGTGCCTGCCTGGCATGGCATGCAGGTTACCCTGAGTTCAGTCCTCAGTTCTGCAAACCAAACCAAGCCAAACCAAACACCTAAAGGTCTCAGGCTTCTCCAGATGTGCACATGGGAACAGGGCACTATTTTATGGGGATGGGTTAAGTAAATGATTCTTTGGTCCCCAGATGATTATTTCCACAAGTTCAAGAGCAAAATAAATTATAGCATATCACACAGCACAACTGTTAATACATCCTTAAAAATGAGAATGCAGTTGTGTGTTTTTAACAATTTAACAGTACGTATGGCAGAAAATCAGAAGTATGCTCCCACAGAAAACCCACATATTAATAACCCTCTTGCTGTGTCGCATTTTTATAGTAGAATTGTTTCCCCAAATCTCCCATCATTACCCGGCCACATCTGTGTGCCCTGGATATCTTTGGTTGTGGAAGTCTATTCTTCCTAATAATTTTGTTAACGGATGTAAAAGGCTGAAAATTTGAGGGTGTCAGATATGTGATACTAAATTGGGAGTTGTTGGGACTTGTATCCCAGCCTACCCACCATCTGAAACACACTGGCTCTTGGGAGCCTCTTGAGAGGAATTTGCTTCTAAATTTGAAGCTGGAAAAATCACTGGCATAACTGTTTAAAAAAGAATCACAATTCATGATCTTTATATTTGCAGCGCATGTAAGAAGACTTGCGTTCAAACTGAAGTATCTGTGTACTGATTCTCAACACAACAACAAAAATCTTACGGGGCGGGGGAGGTCCTAACATTACTGGGTGCTTCCTCCATGAAAATTTTATAGTGCATTATCTCCATAAACCACACTCATACTGCCCATTCCCACAGCACTGATGTGGATGGGCCTTTGGGGAAGTGGCTGGCCTTAAGCAAGGTGGTATAGGGAGTGTTGGTACCAATGTCTGAGCGGCTACAGCTTACCTCCAGAGCTAGGCTCCTAATCACTGTGCCACAGGGCACACGGGAAGATGCTAAAAGTATCCTGAGAAGGCCCATCATCTGTGCTTTGTGACAATGGTCATTATTCACAGATACCAGCTTAAGACCTAGAGAAGATCATCTTTGCAGAGTGGCTAAGCAAAGCCATGGATACTGCCTAGATGACCCAGGAGCAAGACTTAGCCAAAATCTGTTAGAGCCTGGAATACAGGCCTTACGTCTTGAAAATTCTCCATTTGTCCATTAAGTTTATATGTTTTAATTTCTTCATTTTTATACAAAATCAACTAAGCTTTAATTACTTGTCAGAAATTAAATCCAAACCAACATCAAGGGCAGACTGCCTACGCTAGTAAGCTACTCATAAGGGCGGGTGTAATCAATCTGATTTTTTACTAATGAATGTGTCCCCATTCGGGATGAGTGACACCTTCTGCTCCTTGTCACTCTGCCTCTTTAAAAAGTCACTCTTACTCTTCCAGTGATGGAGATTGAACATGGCCTTGTCCGTGCTGGGCAGGAGCTCTACCTCAGAGCTACGTCTCCAGCTTTCTTGTTTGCTTGAACAGCCTGACCATAGCCTAGCCAGGCCTTGGACTTTGAATCCTTTTGTTTCAGTCTTCCCAACTAGTTGATATTCACAAGTTAGAATTGCTTTAATGTTGTTAAGAGACATGCTGCCCATTAGTGGGAATCTGTGATGCTTCTAATTTTTAATACTTCTATGAGATAGAACTTAGTGTTTGCAGAAAGCATCTGTCTGTCTTGATATCAGGACAATAAAGGCATTCAGGAAGGATTTCTTCAGGCTGTGCAAGGTCTTTGAAGGAGGTCATTGGGAGGGCTTCTGTGCTTTGTGCAGGGCTTGTGGCTGCCTGGGGATGGATGCGTGCTTTTGCCGAGCACTTGGGTTGCTGAGAGCGCCTGGAGCATGTAAAGGCTTTCTGTGAGTACAGAAGAGGCCTCCCCTACAGTCTCTGGGGATCAAAGCACCGCACACGTGACACTAGGGCGGGTGCCACATTGTTTGCAGGAGAAGCTCCAGTCAAAGGCTCCAGCCAGGGCAGAGTGCTTCCAAGTCAAGCTTTTGATCCCAGCAGCCTGAACTGTCAGAGACTCATGTACAAGTTAGAACACAGCAAAGAAAGGAGGGAAAGAGAGAGGCAGAAAAGGGAAAAGGAAAGTAAGTAAGGGAGAATGCAAGCAAAGCCCAGGTTAACTAGAAAGAAATGTGGCTTGACTTTCTTGTTCATGGCAGCATTGAAATAAGAAGCAAAAAGTATGTTTTCCTACGCTGGCGCCAAAGCTGCACACACTGGTGTGCCAGCTCACTACTTGTTGGCTGAATTTTTCTGGGAACTCTCTGATCCTCAGTCTCTTCATCAGTGAGATGGGGGTAGTAATACCTGCCCTACGGGGTTGTTTTGAAGAATAAACGGGAAAACATATAAACCTTAAATCAAACGCAATGGGGCACCCATTAAACAAATTATACCTATGGATATTATTATTTTAGATTTTCTACCAACCAATAAACCAACTTTCCTGATTAAAGGTGGCGGCAGGAGAATTGTGTGTTCAGGCTAGCTTCTGGGCAGCAGAGTGAGATTCTGTCTCAGAAAGCCAGGAGCTTGCTTGGCATGTGCAAGGCTCAAGGTTCAGTCTCCAGTACAAAAAGTGAAGAGGAAACTGTACAATGGCCCTTTGCTGGGGAACATGGGTATCTAACTTCAATTTTTTCTAGGTTACTTGAAACATACCACTTTCTATCTTTATGGAAAAAAAAATCATTCTGAAATGTACTGCAAATTTTCTAAACTGAAAAACCTCAAGTTAACCGATTTCCCTTTGCTGAGTCACCTGCTGTGTGACTGAGTCACCTGCTGGGCTGGGCTGTCATACTGCCTGTGGTACCAGTGTCTGCACAGGCAGCTCAGAGGCTCCACATACCTGCCAGGTGGCCCACTGTTGCTCTGGCTCCTGCCAAGTTCACATCTCCCACAGTCCACCTCCTCCCTCCATGGAGAACCAAGCAAGTGATCAGCTGGACATGAACTTAAAGATCAATAGGAGAACTGGCCTTGGCAGCACCTGCCTGTAATCCTAGCACTGGAGAGGCTGAGGCAGGAGGATAAACAGGGTTACATAGTAAGACTCTATCTCAGAAAGCAAAACAAAACAACAACAAATGACTGAAAAAAATGGGCATTCTAGCACATGGAAGTCTCTTCCATTTTTTTTTTTTATTCCTGACTCTCTAGAATTTGTACTGCATAGCATCATTTTGACCAATGTGTTTATGTCATTTAATTTTCTGTGCTGTTTATATCCATTATATTTTCTAGAATGAGCATAAACATACCACTTTCTATCTTTATGGAAAAAAAAAATCATTCTGAAATGTACTGCAAATTTTCTAAACTGAAAAACCTCAAGTTAACCGATTTCCCTTTGCTGAGTCACCTGCTGTGTGACTGAGTCACCTGCTGGGCTGGGCTGTCATACTGCCTGTGGTACCAGTGTCTGCACAGGCAGCTCAGAGGCTCCACATACCTGCCAGGTGGCCCACTGTTGCTCTGGCTCCTGCCAAGTTCACATCTCCCACAGTCCACCTCCTCCCTCCATGGAGAACCAAGCAAGTGATCAGCTGGACATGAACTTAAAGATCAATAGGAGAACTGGCCTTGGCAGCACCTGCCTGTAATCCTAGCACTGGAGAGGCTGAGGCAGGAGGATAAACAGGGTTACATAGTAAGACTCTATCTCAGAAAGCAAAACAAAACAACAACAAATGACTGAAAAAAATGGGCATTCTAGCACATGGAAGTCTCTTCCATTTTTTTTTTTTATTCCTGACTCTCTAGAATTTGTACTGCATAGCATCATTTTGACCAATGTGTTTATGTCATTTAATTTTCTGTGCTGTTTATATCCATTATATTTTCTAGAATGAGCATCTCTTGAAACAGGTGTGCATGCATGTATATATGCATGTGTGCTCCATTCTTCACTGGGATAAATCATATCAAGAGAGGAACAACTGTGCTTCGATGTCTCAGCCTTCACCATCCCTTACTGAATATCACCTTTCTGTATCTGAATTCATGATTCATGATTCTGGCTGGGTTTAGGTGAGAGAAAGCCTGCATCCAATATGATTCATAAAATAGAAGCATTTATGGAATATATATATATATATATATATATATATTATACTACCCTGGGAACTCCTATAAACATTTGGTTTGTTTGTTTGTTTTTTGTCTTTTTGAGACAGGGTCTCCCATGTAGCCCCAGGTGGCCTGGAACTTACTATGTAGACCAGGCTGGCCTTGAACCCACAACAATCCACCTGCCTCTGCCTCCCGAATGCTGGAAATAAAGTCGTACACCACCACACCCGGCTAGTCTAATATTATTTTAAAATTTACAAAAAATAGGTTCTAGCT